ATCACTTTCTAACATGTAGAAGACAGAAACATTGTTTTGAGGAACACTTGAATGCATTTCATTTCAAAGCCACTCATCTCATAGACTAACACTTTAGGTATTAACATTATATTACAGGTTGAAAACCAACCTGTTGGGTGAACTACATGCTAATTCTAATAAAGCAACAGAGTGTGGATTTCTGATTATTCGTGAGTACTGAAATCAAAGTATGGACAATATTCTGTCTCTACTACTACTATGTGCTGCAAGCAGTACTGACAGCTTTGTCAACTGTGAAATGTGCCTGAGTGTACAAACTGACTCATTGTTAACATGCACTTTGCTTAATTCGCCGTGGAGAAAACATCATGCTCAGACTGTGGAACAAGTATTTTATTCCCCTGAATGAAGAAATACAGTCTGTACAGTAACATGACCGTAAATAATACTGCTCCTTCTTTTATTTATCCTTTGCACACAAGAGTCATACATTTTAGTTGGCTGTTTTGCCATCCTTACCTATGGAACTTTTTTATGCTGTGTTATGGAATATATATTTAAATGATAGTTAAAGCTAATGAATCAGACGGCACATTTTTTCTCTATATTCAGTCTAATGATGTTGGCCAGTGTCAAATACTGGATCAGGGCAACCCATGACACCTTAAACCATTCTTTACAACTTTGTTAATGCATGTTTGCCTTTGGAGAGAAGGGGAATATTTTAAACTATTTATTTTGAGCCAGTGACTCCTTCCAGGAGTAGACCCCAACCAGTTTATTAGTGATCTGATATTATTGGGTATTGGCTAACTATTTGTTTATCTAATGTAAACACAACAACCTGCTGTAATCTGTTTATTTTTCGTATGTTGGAATATTTCATTTTTATCTTCCTCCAAACACCCCCATCTGATCACAGCAGATGGCTCCCCCTGCCTGAGGTGGTTCTGCTGCATGGTTCTCCAAGTTTAAAAGGGAGTTTTTCCTTCCCACTGTCACTGTGATTGGAGTAGCTTGATTGTAAGGGTTTTCTCTGTATTATTGTAGAGTATCTACCTTACAATATAAAGCACCTTGAGGTTGTGATTTGATGCTATTTAAATGAAACAGAATTTAATTGAATTGACCAATTATTGGTACTGGTATCAGTCTTAAAAGTCCTTTATTGGTTGGGCTCTAGATCCATGCATACCACTCTAACATGTGTAGAAACTGCAGCCTGACTTGCCTGTTTTGTGCTATGTTAACACACAGGACCACAGGAGAAAGTGTGGTTGTAGAACAGTCAGCTGAAAAATATGTGAAACTCAGTTTAAGCTTCCACACGTTGAGCTACTCTCAGCAGGTAATATATGAGTATTCAGACAATATGCAAATAGTACACGACCCGGGTCAGGCTGCAACAAAGCAACTCAGCAAGAGAGAGAAAAGCAGCAGTACAAACATTGTAATGTTTATTAAAAGTTGTCAATTATGCAAGTGCACTGTATGTGCAGTATGTCTTTGGATGTAGATTCCAGCAGAGCAGAGACTCACAAGCTCACTTACAGTAAGCTGTGAGTGTGGAGTGTGCAAGCACCTCCACATCCCAACTGTTTGCAGTGGTCGCATCTGCTCAGTATCACTCTCATCATCAGTCTCAGCCCTCAGGTGATTTTCTACCAAACACTTGACATCCTCACTTTCCCAGCATCCTCTCTGTCACTCCTTTAAGTACTTTAACTGCTTTTTTTTACTCTGTATCTCCCATCTCCCCCTACCACAACCATCCATGCATCTCTTCCACAATCTATTCCTCCTCTTTCTGAGATGAGCGAGGCGTGGTCCTGCTGGACCACTGCCTAAGACAAGTGTCAGCAACGATCTCAGCCGCTACTCTCTGCAGTGAAATGGCGCACCGCTGAAACGATTACACCAGATAGGTCCCAAGGTCAACAGAGCTGTCAGGACAAGCTCTAAACTCTTCAACTCCAACCCCTCCCCGTGGACGATAAGGAAAACAGGCGGAGGTGTTAATCGAGGGCGCTGTGCGGCTCACAGACTTACTGACACGCTCTCTCATACAGTTCATTTTCATCTCTCTCGTTTATGCAAATGTTCTTTCATTTGCTCGTTAAGTTGTTTTTCTTTGGCAGTCGCAGGGCGCCGCATTATTGCAGGGCTTGTTCCTCATAAACATTTTATAGATACAATACTGAAACGCAAAAAGAAAACCAACAAAGCACAATCTGTGCCTCTAATCAGAAGTGGTGCTCGGATCTGGGCTGGTACACTTGAACGTGACAGGTTGTCATTGAGGAAATGGCTCAACAAGGGGTTCATTGTCTATGTAGGTGGTGAGATCAGGAGAAAATAAAGAGAGCATGCCGAAGGACATTTGGGAAATTTGCTGACAGTTTATGGGGTGGGGGTGGGTGGGTGGGGGTTGGTATGTACATGCTTCCCCTGATATATGTTTATTTGTACAGCACATCTAAACAAAAGAGCACGCAGGGGAGGTCACTTTAGCCTGACAAAGGTCACATTTCCTAACGCAGGAAAACTGCTTCCTGGCCGGTAAGAGCTCTGCTGTAAGATGGAGTTCACCAAGGAATAGTGCTCACACACTACCTCGAATTTCTCAGGGAAACTCGGAAAGAAGGAGACGCTTCGACCTGCGTCGCTGTACTTTGATGCTTACTTACTGTGTACTGTGAAGGTTAACCTTACTTTATCTTTCTGTGTAGACCGCTTAGAAAAAAATCAAACCTCGTTAGTACCTGTGAAACCTTAAAAACGCCGAGGATAAAACAAAGCTTTTTAACCATTCCCCACTTAAAAGAAACAAAAGCAGCTCTGCCTGCGCGGAAACAAACACCACTCCAGATAAACTGCTGTAAGCAAAGTGCTGCCATTAATCAACTATGCTTGTGGTTCAGAATGAGTAGTCGCCTGTAACTTGTCAAGGGCCTTTACATTAAGTATTTGCTTTTACACTCCAAAGGCAGACCTCGAGTTTCCGTGAATAAAGCAGTCTATTAATCTTGCCGTCAATCTGTGCACCTGCAGAGAGAGAAGGGGAGAGGGAGCAGGTGGGGGGGGG